CCTTTTTGAAAATAGAGACAACTGAGGCTTCATGTAAGGAATCTTCTAATTTTCCTGATTGTAGAATGTCGTTGTAAAAATGTAAAAGAGCTTTTCGATTTTCCTCATCAAGATATTTTACTAGTTCCGCTCTCAAATTGTCTGTGCCGGGCGCTTTATTGTTTGGTTGCTTTCGTATCACGGCGTCTAGTTCATCTAAGGTGAACTGGGAATCATCGATGGGAAATCGTCCGTTAGTCAGATTAGAGGGATTGACTTTAGGAGGTGGTATCCTATCCGGGTTTCTTTTCCATTGTTCTTGTGCTAAATATTCTGCAGCCTTGTGGTGGTATTCGCTTCGTGGAATCCTTCTTCCGTCCTTATCTCGAAATTTTGTGTATTTCAGCCGTGGAGCTTTTCGGAGACGCTTCAAACCACTCCAAGAATAAGAAGACCCTTCCATTTCTTCTAGTTGTTGCAAGAGGTGTGTCTCTTTGTCTTTACGCACTTCGTTTTTAATTTTCTGCGTGAGCTCTTGCGCGATCTGTAGCTGTCCTTGCCTACAAGCTTCCTGTCTAGATTCCATAAGGTTCCAGGCGGTAGCAGAAATATAAGGTTGTCGTTGATTTGGGGGAATGACCGTGAAGGACAGACTAGCTGCTTTTTGCAAACATTGAGCAAAGACCGTAACAGGAGTTGTGTCAAAATTTGGGGGGAGCAACCTTGGAGCTGACGGATAGTTTGGTTGTACTTCAGGCGTTGCTCATCGGAGGGCTCACGGTATTTGGGCGCGTGTGCTGTAGACTTTTTTGTTTGTTTCGCAAGCTTAATTACAACGTCTACAACTATCATTTTATGATCTGAATCAAGAGAGGTGTGGTGAGTCGCATTGACATTTCTAATTGCATTTCTCCACCTGCGTTTTGACAGAATATGATCAATTTGCGAAAACCTGGTACTCGTAAACGGTGATGCAAAAGTCGCAGCTTGCGTATTTCTGAAAGTGATTAGGTCATTGTGATGTTTCTGGAACATTGTGGAGGAGACAACGTAATCCTCTTCCAAGCAGAACTCTACAAACAACTCTCTGTTCTCCATTTGCGCTTCGGGTAGGCTGTCTATGTTTTGATCGTCTGGGTTGAATATATGAGGTCCGATGTGTTCTCGTTCTTCAGGGAGACTTTTTAACAACTTAGCATTGAAGTCCCCGAGTATGATGTGTTGATTGTGTCTTCCGTATTGTGTTGTGATTTCTCTCAATTTTTCATAGTAACGTGTTTTTTCGGAGGAGGGCTTTGCTGAGTGTGGGGCATGAGTGCCAGTCAAATTCATTGTCCCGCCTTTACTCCTGAGCGAAAGGGTGATGCTACGATTGTCATGTTGAACAACATCGATCTTTGAATTTGAAAGGTGTCTGTGGTAAACAACTGCTACCCCTAGCTTCTCTGCATCTAGATTGTAAAGTTGAAGCTGGTTTTTCCCTTTATTCTTACCTTTCCCTGCTACTGTTTTCGCCATTTCTCTTGCTTTAGACGCTTCTTCTCTTTGCTGATCCGTAATGGAGGAAGAGAAAACAAAACAATATTGGTCATGATGTTCTTCGGTGTTTGTATTGATGTGTGTTTCTTGTAAAAACAAGATATCCAGTTTGTGAGTCTTCATCATGTGTGCAATTTTTTCCCTTGCTGAGATGTGGTTAGCACCCTTACAGTTAAGGGTTGCGATCTTCAAGTTTTTTTGTATTTTTGTGCCCGTGTTATCGCTGTGAAAATGTCCATTGGTGGCGGTCAAGCCTTCTTGAGCCCTATGATAAGTGCACTCCTGGAGGGCCAAAACAGGAGAGAACTTCCTCACCATTCTGTGCAATTTTCTTTTCTCTTGGCGTTTCTGACTTCTATTGCATTTACGCATCAGGATTGCAGCATTAGACCGTCTAGTTTTTCGTTTTGATTTGTAAATTGTTTTTGGGTCATCTTTTGTTGAAAGTAAATGCTTGTCCGAGTTGTGATTCCATCTTTCATTACTAATGCATTGGTGAGACTTGGTTCGAGTGACCTTCAGTTGCCGCTGCCTGTTGGGGCGTGGCTTTCCCGCATTCCCAAAGTGGGGGGAGGTCGACAGGGTGGATTCAATACAATCGTAAGGGGGTTTGAATTTATCAGTATATCGGCTTTTTCGTGCTTTTGGTGAGCTGCTGTGTCCCGTCTTCAGATGGCGTTCTTCTCTTCTGTCAGTAATTTCTTCGTATTTACTTGGTAAAGGCAAAAAATGCCTTGATGGCACAAGGTGCCTGTCTGGGTCGGCGGTGTGTCTGTAAGACTTGAAAAAAGTCGTCCGTTGAGTGTGTCGTGCGGTTCGTTGGTCGCCTTGGTTCTGTTTGACGTTCTTTTTTCCATCCGATTTTTTGCTGAAGAATTGTGGGCTATGCTTGTCTTTCCTCCCTGTTCCCTATTCAACAGCATCACTACGGGACTCACTCTTGTACGTCTCGTACTCCTGCAGCCAGTTGGTCACCTGGTGGAATTCAAAGGTGAAGGGGAACTTGCCATATTCATCGGCGTTGCTCATCGTTTTGGTGGGTGTTTTCCCTTTTCCTTTGCCCTTGGTTTTGGTTTTTGCTCCTTGTCCTTGTCCGTAGCTTGTGGCGAACTGGCTCTGAAATGCGTCCACGAAGGTTTCAAAGTGAATGCTGTGATCCACATAGATTTTGGCTGCGCCTTTTGAGGAGTTGAAGGTGATCCACACGAGGTAGAAGCCCTTGGTTTTGATAGCGTTTTCTGGCCAAACTGGTGCAAAGTCCTTGTACTCGAACACCTCCCTCAAGACCATCATTGCTGTTCTCATCGGTGCTCCTTTGATACGGTCCCAGATCGGGATCTGGGGCTTGAAGATGAGGGTTCCATTGCTCTGTGTGTTCATCTCGGATTTCTCTCCTAAGGCCTGTGTTTCATCAGAAGTCCACCATTCAGGGATGCCTTTCGGGAATTTTTCTTTCTGCCAATCTAGTAGCCTTTTCCTGATCCATGGCTGTGCTAGCTTGACGTGGGATTGGGGGGAAATGCTGTCAGCTTTCACTTGGTGACTGTATTCACGATCTGCTGGCCAAAACCTTTTGCTCACCCCTGCTTCACTTAGACACCATTCAATGATGCGCTCTCTATGCATGTACTCATCTTCAAGGTTGGTCACCTTCTTGTACTTCACCCAGTTGATGACGACAAACTCACTTGCGCATTCCTGTCTGTCAGTGTCGGCCTGGGTTTTCAGGGTGAACAGGATTTGGTTGCCTTGGGTGTTCAATTTGCTGTGCACATTCTGGAGGTCATCTCTGAGAATGGCTAGTTCAATGTTGAGGTCTTGTTTTTCTCCTCCTTCTGGCTTTTCCATCTGATCATGTGCTTCTTCTTTAGCGATGTTTTGTTTCTTGGCTTCTCTGTCTGGTGTCTTGGCTGGCGTGAGTTGTCTTTTCTCTTTTTCTTTTTCGGTTTCCATCTCTAGCATCGCACTCTCATCATCCGCCATCAATTGCCCGGCTGACTTTGGTGCCCACTGCCGTGTGGCAGCCGACATGCGTGCAGCTACCCTTACTAATCACAAAGAGAAACAGGTACCCTGGTTCGAACCACAATGCTTAAAGTATATAAATACACATATAAATAAATACATCTGCATGTATATTTACTATATCAAATAAAGTTTTATGTTATCTTATATTATGTTATCTTACCTGATCTGGTTTTTTTACTTTATATATTTTTGTATATGAAATCAAACTATACGATACTTTACTATATCATACCATTTCCTATTAGTTATATATATTCTATTTTATTATATCATATCATATTAATTATATATTATATTTTATTGGGGTTTACTGTATTATATGTTATATTATATATCATAGATATTGTTTAAATACATATCATGTAACCAACCATCTAATTTGCGTCAATCATTTTGAATCATCGCCGCTACGGCCCCGGCTAAATCTGCTGCCCCAATCAGGCAGCAAGTTCGATGCAAGGCATCTGGGAAAACCCACTGGCTGTTGTTTTGTTGGCTTTCATCAGAGATTCACCTGAATTTTCCGTGGTTTTGTCCATGTTCCTTGGTATTTGCGGGCAAGTTAACAACCTTCTTTATGTGTGTACCCACCTGTTCGGTTAGACCCTTAGTGTTCTGTCTAGTGTTTTTTTGAATGTTCTTTCCTCAAGACCATCATTTTTGGTGACCCATTTAGACCAAGAGATAAATGGTTGCACCATAGATCCAGATACTAGTCCCCAATACAAAATGGATCCACAACTCATGAATAGATCCAATATACACATCCCACCAGGGTTTATTTTGGATGGCTTTAATATGCTCCGTGGAGGGGATCAATGATTAATTGCTATAAGTAAATGGTTGTCATCGTTTACCTATGGTTGCTAAGTAGTTCAACCTATGCATGGTTATACTTTGGTGGAGTTTTACAGAGCCATGCAGTAATGATTTTAAGCGCTTGTATTTACACATGACTTTGGAATATTGCCATCATGATCATCAATATAAATACAATCAAATTATGCAATTTTCTATATATGCTAAATATGGTTCGTATGATATTGCTGGCAATTTCATGGTTGAATGAACAGTCAAAAGAGAAAAACAAAACCATATGTGCAACAAAAACACACTAGTTGTCATTAGGATCATTTTGACCGTTGCGACCAGTATGATCATTATGTTCGTTGTTATCGCTTGCATCGTTGCTACAGTGTCATTTGTTTCAGTGGCATCATGATCATCAGTATCAGGAGTTATCGCTGACCAAGAATTTACCATCACGCACAATCACAATATAAAAACACCATAAAACGTTATTATCACTAACACTATCATTATCCTTATCAATACCATATTGTTATTGTCATTATCAATATGACCATTGTGCTCATTGTTACCATTCTCACCATTTGATCACCAACGAAGCATGACTCACGACTTCATCGGCTTCTTTCGCCATGTTCCGCCGGTCAGCGTCGGCGGTTGGACTCAAGCGCCCGGGCTACGGCATGCGCCACCACCCAGGCTGCTCCAACGATGGCAGCTGCAGGCACTGCGGCGTTGCCCACCACCTGTGGTTGCAGATGTGGCTATCAAGATATAGATGTATCTATCTGTATCTGGATATGTATATTTCTTTCAATATTAATGTAAATTCATGTATACATACTATATTTACATGTGTAGACATATATACACTTACATTAAATTACATATTTCAAAAATATTATGTAAATATAAATATATATATATATTACAGTCATGTGTGTATATATACATACATATACGTAAGTTTGCGGCCTTATCATTTCCCCCGCTGCTGACTTGCTTCTCTGCTGCAAGTGCGCATTTGACACCAAAAGCAGCTTCTTTGCATCCATTCTATCCCAAGTCTTCCCGTTTTTCCTTCAGTAGCTGGTACCGCTACAACACAGGCTTCGGCTGCCACCTGCATCGGGGACGCCTGGCCAATCCAGCAGATAAGACTGATCGACAGCTATGGTCACCAAGTCCGACAGGGACAGAACATCCTCCGGAGTCAAATCCATGGACATTGCTTCTATTTCAGGGCAAGACACGGATGGGCCCCCTCAAATCCAGCCGCCAGCAAGTAGATCTTGGCTTCAGCTTCACTGGGGAATGACTGGGAGACGGAAGAGCCCCCTTCCAAGTTGCCAACTCCCCTCCTGTAAGAGGCTAATGACTTGAAGACCACAGGACACTCAAGGTTGTCAGCACGAGCAACAGCGTAAAACCTCGACCGCAAATCCAATGGCGAATTCCGGTTGGGGGAGTGAACTCTGGAGTCCAAGACGGCCTTAGCCCAGCAACCAGCAGTCCAAGCAAGAGAAGAATGGTCACGGCCAGACAAGGTGGCACCAGAAAGGCGATATTACCCCAGGACACAAAGCCGAGCAGGATGCAATCTGGTCCCTGGTCTCAAGTCCAAGTCCAGACCGAGCAGGCAGATGCCGCAGTTTCGGGGGCCTCAGACAAAGAGCCCACAGACGCAGAAGGAGAGCGAGCCCGACTGGGACAGAAGCCGGACACGTAACCCACAAGTTCAGCAACGCGATCAGGAGGACCAGAAATGCTGGCTCGCAAGCCACGGATCTCAACGATGACTTACCGCCTTCGTCGTGGCGGCTGGGCATGCAGGTAGCCAACCTCTTGAGGCAACAACAGCAGGTGAGACAGGGTCCGCAGAAGGTGAACGGGACGAGGCAGCAGGAGCAACAGGGAACAAGTCAAACCTGAAGACAAACCAGGCCAGAAGTCCAAATCCACAGAGCAAACCAGCAAGGAAAGCAGGTCCAAAGAGATTTGACCTGAGACCCTGAACCACAACACCTCAAGCTGAAGGCACCTCGAGCATGGACAGCCTTGAGCGCAGGTATCAAATTTGCACACATATATCAGCATATATAAATATGTGTTTAAAATATTTACAAATATCTTCATATATATATACACATATTTGTCTTTATATAGATTTATGTACATACAAATAAATGGAAATATAGCCATATGAATCTATATATATATATATTCATATCATCTTTACACATTAATTTGAGAACTTGCCCACAGAATTGTACCCCCTAGCGGGCTGCCTGGCGCCAGCCGTGCGGCTCCTGCGGAGCCTGCGCCGCATGCGCCGCAGGTGCCGCGGGTGCCGCGGCCTCCTTTCGCAATGGGAATGAGGTGAAATATGTGAAATATGTAATAAATGGATTGAAATACAGTAGACTAATGTATTGAATGTATTTAATATTTAATGTACTATACTTAGTCATATGTTAATTGTAAGCAATAACGTTGGGTTGTATTTCAGGATTTTAATTGTTGTATTTAAGACTTTTGAAACATCAATGTTCAATCAATGTATTATTGAGGTATGTATTCTTGGAATATGTTGAAAGATGTTGCAATATGTTGAAATATGTAACAACTGTGCATAACTCGGAAGTTTCCAAACTTCCTAAACGGATATAGTCAACCAAAACTAAGGATAGGTTTGCCCAAGGGTCTGTTGGACAGCCAAAATGGGGACAGGAAGTTCAAAGGTTCACTAATGAAACCTCCCTTGAGGCGTGGGAACTTGGCAAAAACTGACCGGCACCCCCTTAGGTGTGTCAGGGGAGTTTGGGACCCGACCATCCGTAGGGATTTTAATAGGAAAATCACGATGATAAACCATTTGGATTTGGTTCTATATGCCCTTTGTTTGGACAAACCCTCAACATAGACCATCACTATTGGATGGTTAACCCACTTTACGTGAGAGACCATGACTTGATAAAGCATCCATTGATAGAAAATCCCAAGGGCTCATTATAGTCGTTATACCGGGATCCGTATCCAGGAATCGTAGGTAGTTGATAGCGCAGTTGTAGTTCGCTGGGGATATACCCGATGTAAACGGGTGAACCATGCTTCTGATATAAGGGCAGTCCCTTCCATATGAAAATCATTCCGAAACAGGTAGCTTCTCACCAGAAGTAAAGAAATGCAAAACAGTCTCAAAAAATGGCTATGTATGGGTATGTATGGGTCAGTTTATTGGGTACTCCTAAAAATGGATGGAGACGAAAAACAGACGAGTCAATCTCTGGTCCCTGCCTGTCCAGGAAGGCCGCCTCTCAAAACAAGCGGTGTTTTTTAAGCTCCGAGAAATCGATGAACTAAATGGAGGTGCCCCAGCTAAATGGAGATTTCATGGGATAAAACTGGGATAATCCCTGAACTAAATGCTGATTGATGACGGAGGCTATATATCCCATTTGTATCCCATGATTTTTCCCTACCAGTAGTACCGCACAAGGCGGCGGCGGAAGTTTCAAACTTTGGAAGCCTATAGGAGAAATTGGTTGTTGTGAATCACGGGTGGCAGAGCGAAGCCACTGATGGACTGAAAGGTGATTGATCTCTCTCACTCTTTCTCTCTCTTTTGCTCTCTTTCTCTCTCTTTCTCTCTCTTTCTCTCTCTTTCTCTGAATATCTACCTACCTACCTACCTACCGACCTACCTACCGATCGATCGATCGATCTATCTATCTATCTCTCTCTCCCTCTATCTCTCTATCTCTCTATCTCTCTATCTCTCTATCTCTCTATCTCTCTATCTCTCTATCTCTCTATCTCTCTATCTCTCTATCTATCTATCTATCTATCTATCTATCCATCTATCTATCTATCTATATCTCTATCTATCTATCTATCTATCTATCTATCTATCTCTATCTATCTATCTATCTATGTATCTATCTATTAATCTAATCTAATCTAGTCTAATCTAAAATAATCTAATCTATTATCTATCTATATCTATCTATATCTATCTATATCTATCTATATCTATCTATATCTATCTATATCTATCTATATCTATCTATATCTATCTATATCTATCTATCTCTATCTATCTATATCCATCTCTATCTATCTCTATCTATCTCTATCTATCTCTATCTTTCTATTCTATTCTATTCTATTCTATTCTATTCTATTCTATTCTATCCATCTATCTATCTATCTCTCTCTCTCTCTGTCTGTCTGTCTGTCTGTCTGTCTATCTACCTGTCTATCTGCCAGCTTGAAAACCAAGCTATTCTGCGAGACTTCCTCATTTTTTCGAAGTTGACAACATCAAAAACGCAACAATTCTGCGAGACTTCTTCATTTTTGAACTTGACAACATCCAAAACGAAGAAATCCGGCGAGACTTCTTCAATTTTTGAATTTGACAACATCAAAAACAAAGCAATTCTGCGAGACTTCCTTCAAAAATCTAAAGTTGAGTGCAGCGCTGACGGCCTCGTACCATCTCGTACCAATGCGTTTTGCGATTTTTCCACTCCACCTGTCTAAAGTACTGCGCCTGCCACGAAAAATTGAGGACAGGTCATACGAAGTGCTGCACCTGTCACGCAAAATCATCTTAGCAAACCTACAGATCTGATGCTCCAAAATGCAACCCGTCTCAGGAAATCAGCGCCCTGACCTCCTAACATCTCTGATGAACAACATGTCTTTTGTACTGCGCCTGCCACGCGAAATGCATCTTTGACGATCCTCTTCAAATGTCCCACGCCTGCCATCGTTTTTTGGAAATGCTACAAAACCCTCACGTTTTGATCACTTTTGACAAGGTGCACAATCCCGTACCCCTCAGTTTTTTGCACTTTTGAACCCCTAGTGTTTTTAACATTTTGACTTGGAAATGTGCTTCGCGCCACAACGGCGTGCACTTTTTCAACATCTCAACTTCCAAAAGTGGTCCGGTGCTGGTGTGTTTTGTACATTTTGACTTGGAAACGTGCTTCGCGCCACAACGGCGTGCATTTTCTCGACGTCGCAACTTCTAGAAGTGCTCCGAAGCTGAGGTCCTTTGTACATTTTGACTTCGAAATGTGCTTCGCGCCACAACGGCGTGCAACTGTTCATCTCTCATCTGGCCAGATGGCTCCGCACCCGCCGCTTTAGCGAGCCTACTTTTCGACCTTCCGGAGCCACAAATCATTAGAAAACACAGTGTTTCGCGACTTTCCTACCTTTTCGCGCATCTGCATCTTCTTTCTTCTGACTCTTTCTCTTCTCTGATCTTCTCTCTTCTACCCTTCTCTTCTCTCTGACTCTTCCCATCTTTGCTTTTCATCTGTCCATATTGTCCGAAGTTTGACTTCTAAACTTCCTTCGATTAAAGTCCCAGTAAATGATGGCTAAAGTTCCACCTTTCCCGTGCGAAAATGGGACGGTTCTCTCCAAGACCAACATGTCTGGCTTTCACAGCCTGAAAGATATCCGGCCGAGAGACGCTAAACAGTGGCTCCAATCCCTATCTGAGGTTTTTTGTGAAGCTGATCCTTCAAAGATCTGTTTGGCTCTCCAAAATATCTCTATACAAGATCTACAAGATTTTCCCGGTCGAGGTATTTACATTAGGGTCTTCAGAATTCCTCTAAAATATGTATTCAGATCTCTCTGCACGAAAGCTTTCTACGACAAGGTCCCCTAGGGGTGTCCATAAGTTGACAAGATTACTTGAAGGCACTAGTGACTCAGCAAGATCTCGGGGATCTCTCTACAGAGTCTCTATAACACCTCTGTGCAAGACTTTTTTACGGACTTCTACAAGATGGCTTGCGTTTGGCTTGTCATCTCTAGGCCTTATCTCGAAAAATCTCAGAAGGACATCTTGAGAAGATCTCGACACAGAGACAGCACTATACCGCGATATACACCATATAAAGCTGGGGATATTCCATGTAATGTGGTAAAGCCTTTGAGGTATATGAAATTCGGAACCCCCAGTCCTGGTTGGTGAATGGGGCGGTTTATGGCATCGAGTCCCACATTAGAATTGGCTTGGCTTCGGGAAGCTTGTGATTATATGGAGGCCCGAAAAAAGAGGCTACCTTAAGCCATTCGTCTTCCCAACGACCAATGACCTGGATGACTTGGATGACTTGGGGTACCATGACACGGAAACCCGGTAGAATCTGCATGTTCCCCACTTACTACCCACTGGGATGTATGAGATGGGGCATCCTGCCTCGGAGCGGGTTTGGTGGGTTCGGCTCTGTGCCTGAACGTGACGGGAATGGAGTGGTTTCTGCGGAGACCGGAAACCATGGATTTTTCATCTGTAACACCCAACCATAGGGGTTTCCGAGTTCAATGTTCCAATTCAATTCCCAGAAAGTGAGAATAGGCCATGATTTTTGCCATACCTGTCTCACGCGCTTACTTTCTCATCATGGTTTTGCATTTGTTTCTGGCATGTGTTTTTTTTTAAGAACTCACAAATTATATTCTCCCAAAGTGTCACAATGAGTCTAAAAGCAAGCCCAGTGACAATGCCACAAAGGTGAATGATAAGGCCCATCATGAATCCTCGATGTACTCATTTCTTCCACAACTATCCATTGACAGTACACAACCTGCCGTAGATGGACGAATTTTTCAAACCCTTGTAATCCAATGACCCCCCGCACCCCCAATTACAATGTTGTTTTTGTTGGTTCGGTTCGCTCCTTCGAATGGACGAAATAGATCAAACCCTAAGGTCAGGAACAAAGATACGAAACCATAACGTTGAAATTTGGGGACACACCGGGTAGTCTACAACTCATGGATGCGGGGTTTGAATAATTCGTCCATCTACTGTATCTTCAGAAAACCCAAGTCCTTCAAACTTGCAGATAGCAAGCCATTGGAACACCCCCCAGGTAAGTCTCCCAGAAAAGTGGATTTCACCATCCGACAGAGGGTCTGCTTAGGCCTGTCGGCCTGTGAAACAACCGTATTGATTGAAATCAGTTGTCCACATATGTGTGGTCCCAAAGCAACTACAACTTTGGCATTCATCCACAGTGTTGTTCGTTCTATCCCCCTTAGGTCCTTTGTGTTTGAGCTATTACCATCCCCCCAACTAACATAGGCCATGAGAATCGCTCGATTGAAGTTTGGAAAGTGGTCTTCCCATATGCTAGTTGGAGGGAGGTTCAAACATCATGTTCTCATTTCAAGGCAAGCCAAAATCAGTCAGCCAAATTTTGAATGGCTAACTCTCCATACTCATAAAATCCCTCACTGGTTAAAATCCCCATGTTTTCCTGGCTAAATTACCTTGTTTACTGGTTAACATCTCCATTCTTGGCCATTGGTCCCTGCCACCATTCTTCCAGCCGCCTCGTGCGCGAAGCCCACCTTGGCCATCCTCGAAAAAATCACCCCGTGGAGACCAACTCGGGTAGATCCAGGTATGATCCGCAAATCCTTCAGAAATCCTCCGTAAAAATTTGGGGAACCGGGAACATTTCCACCAAAAACTGGAAATCTCAGACTTCTTTTTCTGAAAAAAGTCTTCGGTGCAAACTGCTGCAAAAGCTGGTGATCACTGGGTGCTTATCCGGTGACCGATGTTTTAAGGGATGATCCAACTAGTACAATGATCGGTCATCATCCTGATTTTTGTTGGTGAGAAATATTCCTAAGGGACAATCCAATTAGATCTATTGGTCATCCTGAAGTAGACTTGGTAATTTGCAAAATTCATCTCATTCTAATAACTGGTTGGTGGTTTCAACCCCTCTGAAAAATATGAAAGTCAGTTGGGATTATTATTCCCAACTGAATGGGAAAATAAAAAATGTTCCAAACCACCAACCAGGTAAATCTGTTTGATTTTTCCATGTTCTATCCACTCCAGGATCACTTGTTGTCCAAAGATGCCTGAAAATGGCCATGAATACGGGGGCATCAGCAGGCAGAGTCACATCGTGTTTCTTATCCATCAACTGGGACACAACGGTCCCCAAACCTCAGAGAAATTGATGATATTGACCGTTGAACGGATCACAACTGACGATTCGGACGCTTTTTCAAGCAGCTTTTTGTGTGTGGCTTGTTGTTTCAACCTAGGGAACCCCATTTTTAAGCATTCAATGTGTTTTTTCATGTTCGAATTTGTTGAATGGCCATATTTTTTTCATTCAAAATGGTGGGGACGCCGTACAAGCCACCCCTGAAAAAGCCTTCACCAACCATCGAATCCAACTGGGCATTCCATTTTTTCGGCTTTGAAATGGGGATCCCCAAGTCACCATGGCTTTCAATTTCAATACTAAACTTGTCACTTGGATGATTTGGAGGTATTTCCATGTTAGGCCCATATGTTTCCATGAGATCCTCGTGTTCACAGGGTCTACATCCCGCTGTGCTGAGGTCCGAACGTCTGGAGTGAGGGGACCTGGGCTCGGTGCCAGGTCTACTTCTGGGTTCAGTCACGGAGTTCCGAATTCTCGGCAAATGTTCAGTGTGAGTTCCCATTTCATGAACAAAACTAACTATGTGTTTTGCAAATCACTCGAGGGGAAATGGTTGCTGAGGATTCCTCGCCATGGGGCCAGTGTCGCCCAAAGTCAAATCCCCATTGGTAAAACCTCCATGTTCGATGGCGAAAGACCCGCCCATTGATGGTGCAACCTACAACCCCCCATTTTTCCACGGCGGTCAGGAGCCAAGTTACGAGATGGGCGTTCTTCGCGGGGTGCCTGACATTCTGAAGAGAGGTGCAACATGTTTTTTTACGAAACAAAAATGTGAATTTACCCAGAAACATGTTGAAGAAACACTAGATTGAGCCAACAGAAATGTGGTTTAACAAGTTAAAATAGAAACTCTAAAAGCCAAAAAATTAGGCGTTTAGCCAAAGGAAGTGTACATTTGAAGAATAAACATGGGTTTAACCAGGAGAAATGTGCAGTTAACAAACGAAGCAAAACTAGAAGTTTAACCAACAAGAATGATGACTTAACCAGCAAGACTAGACGTTTAATCGACCAAAATGATGTGTTTTCTTAACAAACAGATGTCACAAGCAAAAGTAGAGGTTTAACCAACATCATCGAAGATTTTAGCAACCAAACTCAAGATTTCAACTGCAAAAGTGTGGCTTCAACCAAGAGAAATGTGCATAAATCGTGCAAAAATAGAGGTATAAACAACAAAAATGTGAATTCAGGCTCACAAAAATAAAGCTTAACCAACAAAATACTGCCTTTTTACGGACAAAAATATCAATTTAACCATTTAACTAACAAAAACTTGGATTTCTCCAATAAACGTATGGATTTTACCAACAAGAATTTAGATTTAACCAACAGAAATGATGTTGTAACCAGCCAAATCTGGGTTCAACCAAGAAGAATGCGGGTTCAACTGTTCAACAAACAAAAGCGTGGATTTAACAAACAAACATGTGGATTTGGCCAACAAAATGCGAATTTCATCAAGGAAAAAAAAGAACTTTGATCAATGGAAAGAGTTAACGGACAACACTAAAGTTTTTCGCAACCAAAAGTTCTTGCTGATCAACGCAAGTGTAGATTTAACTTTCGAACATCTGAATTTAAGCAACAAAAACGTGGATAAAATCAGCAAAGATAGGGGTTTTACTAACACAAAAATGGATTTGTCGAAGCATGCGGATTTAATCAACGAAAAGAGTGGCGCCAACGAACATGTTGACTAAACGAACAAAAACTCTGTGAGGATCAAAAGGTTAGGAGGTCTTTTCCTGGAATCTACCCCCAGATTTGGCAGTTGAGTTCATTGTTTCATGTAAATTAATGCAAGTTCCAACTTTGGCCAAATTTCGGCGAAATCCTTGTTTTTGATAATCGACCCATATAAATCCCGTTTTGGGCTGGTTACATCCTCCAACATAACTATCGGAAGTCACCATTTGTTCATAGGCAAATCATCGACATGGGCCATCTATACCAGAGCATACCATAGCTGTGTTAGTTTACTGGAGGATGACTAATCATTGACATTTTCCGTAGCAATCACATATCTTTATACAGATACATCTTACCATAGCAATCATTGACATGTTCCATTTTCATAGGATTTTCCATTATACCCTCTGGTAAACTAACAGTTTGCTATGGAGAATAACAATCTTTAAGTTCGGTAAATCAACGAACTAAATGGGCCATGTTCAAGTTCGCAAACTGTTGACATAACCCGAGGCTATATTCCATTAAGTGGATTTCTTTATCCCATATGGCAAATCCCATCAAATCCCATTAAACCCCATTAGATTCCAATTAAATCCCATTAAACCCCGGGTAAACCCATGATGAAAACCTCCTGTGGATTCACGGACATCTTCGCGGAGAAAGCCGGAAAAATTGGGGGCCCTCACATGCCATTCTCCGTTCTGGTCGGTCCACCAGCCTCAACCAGCGACTGTGGTTGTTAGATTGGAATTACAGGTATTTAATATGTATATATATATTTATGTATGTATAGTGTGTGTGTGTGTATATGTATGTATGTATGTATGTATGTATGTATGTATGTATGTATGTATGTATGTATGTATGTATGTATGTATGTATGTATGTATGTATGTATGTATGTATGTATGTATGTATGTATGTATGTATGTATGTATGT